AACCATCTAAATTCAAACTATGTTTATATAATAAACATTACAATCATAACAACGTGTCAAATATTACGTTAGATTCTCCAGCGAGACACTTGAAGCTTAATCCCTGACCAGGCTCCTTGGAGAAGACACCCTACCCTCTCCTCCCTAGTGTATAAACGGGAACTAGCCAATTTTGCCATTTGGCGTTTGATCTAGCCATCTGACAGAATGTTAGAAGCTGTACTAGTGTGCTGTTTACTAGCGTCCATCTCTGAGGAAGAACTCATATTGCTAGGTGCCTTATCGTATGAAAAAACATACTTTAAAACCACACACAACTTTAGCTCGTTTTTTGAGTGATTTGCCCCAAAGATTGTTGGCTTCATTCGATATTCTCCCAACAAATTGGCGTAAGTTATGCTTGTGAACGTATAGCAATGAAATTGGCTACATTCAATATTTAAGGGTTGTTTTTCCCTGACATTAGGCTGACTAAAAGATGGCCATAGATCCATTTTAATCACTCGGTGATCGAGTCTTCTAGAACATCCTAATGAAACAGTACAACCCCGAGCAGCCATAACGATTGTGACTTAATCATGTCCGTCTGTATCATGTTTTGTAGATGTTCAAAGCCAGCAGATCAGCAACGTAGATAAGTCAAACTGAACAAACTTGACAAAGTTTGTCCTCTTGTAAAATGTTAAAAAAACACCACACGAAAATACGGTGACAAAGATTCCATTAGAATATTCACACACTCTATTGTTTTATTCAGAGTTAAAAGCTAACGCCACCCTGTACAAGATAGTAAACAGTACGACCTGAAAAACTGCTTTGAATAGCCTNAGAACATCCTAATGAAACAGTACAACCCTGAGCAGCCATAGCGATTGTGACTAAATCATGTCTGTCTGCATCATGTTCTGTAGATGTTCAAAGCCAGCAGTTCAGCAATGTAGATAAGTCAAACTGAACAAACTTGACAAAGTTTGCCCTCTTGTAAAATGTCAAAGAAACACCACAGGAAAATACGGTGACAAAGATTCCATTAGGGCCGATTTACACGGTACGACTTTGTCGCATGCGGAAAGCTTAAGACAGGCCCACAACATGACTTAGGACCATTTAAACGCGCACGACATCTTCACTTACAAAATTAAATTTGCAAGAGTTTGCACCGGGATTTTCGGAGCGAAAGTTCTAACAAACGGTAAACAAATATTTTAGCTGTCCTGCGCTTTGAAAATACTTTCTAACGAGATGTTTTTCGCTTTAATTCGTTCAATACTTTTCGAGAAGCGACTTCATGTGAATCAGTCAACAACAACTTCGTCCGCCATTTTGACGCAAGAAAACATCACCTTCGTCCCCTACTCAATAGAAATTTGTCACAAGATACTTCATTTTCTATCGATTTCGGCTACGATAGTCGCAGCGTTTTAAAACATGTTCTAAAATCCCACGACATTTTTTTGACGTACACAACAGTCGTAAGCGAGTAGTAGGTTTGATTTACACGAAACAATTCATGTCGTAGGCCTGTCGTAAGCTTGTCGCAAGCTTGTCGCATGCAACAAAGTTGTAACGTGTAAATCGGCCCTTAGAATATTCACACACTATTGTTTTATCCACTGTTCAAAGCTAACGCCACCTTGTACATGATAGTAAACAGTACGAACTGAAAAAACTGCTTTCAATAGCTTTCATTAGAATTTAATCCAGACTTATTGAAACCACCTTGTTCAGCATAACAAACAGAATCATAAGAAAGTATTCTTCGATAGCTTTCACATGAACGGTCACACAAGGAAGTTTCGTCCACAGACTGAAAAGTTCGAACCACCTTGTACAGCATAATAAACAGTACCACGTAAAAGTACTGCTCAATAGCTTTATTTCAATGTTCACACACTGGGGTTTCATCCAGATTCAAAAGTTCGAGCCGCCTTTTACAGTACCACATAAAAGCATAGTTCCAAAGCTTTCATTTGAATGGTCACACAACAACAGTGCTTTATCCATATATAAAAATTTAGAACCACCTTGTCTCGCATAATGAACAGTATCACAAGAAAGCACTATTCAATAGTTTTCATTTGAATGGTTACACAACGGAGTTTCATCCACAGAATGAAAAGTTCGAACTTGTACAGCGTAATAAAAAGTAACACAAGAAAGGACTGCTCAATAGCTTTCATTTGAATGGTCACACAATAGAATCAGGCAGTTTGAGCCGCATCGTATGACTCGAGGTTTTACGTCAAAACCGGGGAAAGGGTTAACAGGCCTCCAAGACCATACAAAACAAACAGAAACCGTTTTTTTCTAGGGAAAAAACCAGGGAAAAAACCCAACAACCCTGACAAAAGACAGAGTTTGTAATCACTCCTCTTTGAAATGAAGAAGCAATATCTCGGGATTCCCCCATGACAAGGAGCTGTCACGATTGGTTGAGTGAAGACAAAACAGCAGTTAGCCAATAGCAGGGTTGTAATAGCCACAACTAAAACATAGATGGAAATGCTTGCAGAAGTAAAATTCACCGCATACTTCTACCGAAACGTAACGAACACGCCGGTAAACAGAACAAGGCGTCATAAGGTTGCTTAGTTGAAATAAGCAGTCCACCTTGGTGAGTTAGCTTTTCCAAGTTGAAGAGAACATGGAGAACGCGACAGGTGACAAAGAAGCGGACTTTTCAGGGACCAGTGATGGACGAAAATCGTCACCCTATCAACGGATCGTTATCGCGTGCCCTGACAATCACATCATCGCTGTGAAGCGATTCACGAGCGAAGGTGAGAAGTTGTATTGCTGAGAGTATACGAAAACGTATGTCAAAGAGACAACACTTAAAAATTCGTTTTCTTTTCTTGCAGAAGTCAAAGTTAAAGAGGGGAGACTTGTTGCTATTGAGAACAAGAAGGGACGCTAGCAAGAGGTAAGCGTGAATCGATTCATTATTTGCAAGAGATGACATTAAAATTAGCGCAAATTAGAACAGACAGACAGCACAGCGTTATCGAATAAATAGTCAAAATTCTTGTCAGACAATGAATTCACTCCAACTTGAGATAGTTCCGACTGACCAGTTAACTTAATTACTTTGTATCTGATTTGCTTAAAATAATATCTCAGTTAAATTGAAAACAAAACCGACAGGGAAAGATTTTGAGTGTATTTGTTAAAGAGGATGAGATGACAAAGTGAAAATAGCAAGAGGAAGATAAGAAAAACATATGTAAGTGAAAGCATAACAACAACGAAAAAAAGTAATGCAAGAAGGAATTTAAAATGTTGGAAACAGAGCGAAAAGCAACATTTGGTAGCTAATGGCATAAACAAAACGCCAGGTAACATGCAAAGCATCATTTTTTCAAGGCATGAGAGAGACCAACTTCCAGTTTCTCCTAACAATAACCGTACATCATCAAGGAAGATGGTGATGAGAATAAAGGCACTCGTCAACGACATGATATTTCCTTGCTGTTTCGCCAAACTCTTTTGACAACTGAATATTCAAAGAGATGCCTGACAATGGATAAAGAGATACATGTACTCAAGTTAAGCACAGAAAAAAAAGCGAAAAAATTCCTTCATCAGATTTTGTACGCCGCAAATGCCATTGCACAAGCAGACATTTAACATCGTCCTAAAATTGGTCGAAAATACTTGAACTCCGCTTGTAAGTCAAAGATGTTGATACACGCTTGTTAGAAGTTGAAACTTTAAGTCTGCGTTAATGAGTTAAAGGCTTAGTAAAGGTCTATTGTAGCGTACCATTCGTAGTGAACCAGAGCATCCGTTTTGCAAAAGAAATAGCCTCCTCGTACTTTTATCTACCACTTTGAACAGCACAAAACATGACATGAAAGAATCACTATTTGTATGAAATGACTAAAAAGCAAAAGCTGATTTCCCAATGGTAAATTTGATTTCAATAAAGGGTTTTACTGAACAGATTTGATGGATATGATTTACGTGTTAGTCTGTAGTCACTCCTTAAGCCCTTTGGATATTTGTGTATAAGATGACCTAAATAAGGACTCTGACATACAGCTAGGCTTAACAAGCGAACATAGAAGTCCCAAAGAAACAGTATATTCCACACAACGTTCGCGCCCTTTTCAATATGGCAGAAAATGCGAGCTGCCCCGTTTTGGTCTGTGTAGTTTAGTGATATTAACTTGTCTAGGAGTAATGATATCATTTCAGTTTTGTTTTGCAGAACTCATACCTAAAACAAAGCCAAAACATACCTTCTAGAAGCAACTAGTCCACTGAGCGTAATTAAGGCTCCTTTCTAGTCGAAGGAATTCGACCAAAGCGTAGGGAAGCATTCTGCTGCAGGCAATAGTTGATTTATTTGCATATCTGATCAATATAGTTTATTCAACCAACAATGCTTTTATTGAGTAGCAAGGCACATCCGATCATTCCAAACATTGCTTGCATGACACAAAAAGATAAGAAGGTGTTGATGAAAAACGTAGGCAATTAGCGGCTAAACTCAGAGAAAACCCGGTGCCGGCTGTAGCAATAAATTTAAAGCTGTTCTTGAATTCAGTTGCCTGTTTTGGGCAATTCTAAACTGCAAGCTTAAACATGTCACGAAATACAATGTATTCATTTACCGCCCAGTTCTCGAATACCACAGGAATAATGCTTATTTCTGAGCAAATTGTAAATCACGTTTTGACAAAAACAGACCAATTTATGATTCCTGTCAATCACAAAGAAATTAAGTTTATCTCAATGTAATTTGTCTACATCTCGCCCAGTGTTATCCACAAGCCTTTCCATCTAGCTTCCATGTGTTTCCTTTGTGTTTTTCTAGTGGTTTTAAACCCAAAAAAGCGTCAAAGTAGCCCACCACACCATTAGACGTAGGATCAAAATTCTCTTTTAAGGTTACCACACATTTCCTAAGTTCATCTTGGGAGAGATTTTCCTCAGATCAACCAGCCTTATATTCAAAAATGACCTGCGACTAACTTTCGTTTAAATCGTGTTTTAAATAGTGTTGGAAAAGAGCAGTTAGAAATTTAAACTCAGCGCTGGGAATGTGAGATACGTTAGCTCCTACAGTACCTGTATGAAAATGTAAATTCTCCTCAGCGGGTTCCATTACGTCTCTGTATTGCTCATAAGAATTTGGTTTTGAATCAAGACGACACCCAGGGATCCCTCCCATAAAAATTAGGGAACATTCAACAAATAAAACATGCAGCATGTCTTTTGCCTCGTGGCGGCCATTTTGAATTTTAAATACGCATTCATTTGGCGCGAAATCAGGATGCGAAAACGTACGGGGTCAGGGACAATTACTCTAATTAACATAAGAAACAGAAAAAGTGAAGGATTCTGGCAGTCGTAGTCAAATGAAGCTATCGTACAAATCTGCTTTTCTCGGAGGATCTGATCGAACACTAAGAGTAGAGTTCCGAACGGTTTCCGAACATTTCTCGGTTCCAGACCTTGCACCAGATGACTTCGTGCTGAAATTCGAAATGGTCAGAGTACAATAGACAAGATTGGCTTTCATTCATCCTCTAATTTTATATGAGGGCCCCTAAGGGCTATATCCCCTAGTTGATGATTCTATGAATTCTCATTACCTGTTTGCTTGATAATGTATTAGGATTGTAAGGAGAAATTAGGTATTGATTTTTACTTCAAAAGAAAAAAAGCTAGACTTTTTGTTTTCATTGTCCAGTAAACCGGAAGGTTGTTATCTTAAGTATATAAAAGTGCATTTAGATATCAACCAGATAATTTCCAATTTTTTTCTTCAGTACAGACCTACAAAAAATATCTGTTTTCTCTTTCAATTCACTACTTACACCAAAATTTGCTTTTTTTTATGTGAGTCTGCTGTATATAGGGCAATTCGGTGGCAATCAAGAATGACATTTCATGCAGCACTACATGAAGACAATTATACCCAAAAGTGCATTAGTACTGGATTATAAGCAGATATTTATCAAGAGAATTATGTAAACAATTTAAAAGCAAATGAGCCCTTGAGCAATTCATAAGACAGACAGAATTGCACTCCATTCTTTTCAAAGAGACAAATAGTTAGAGATTTAGTGTTTAGAAAGCAACATTGATGAAAGTAGAAAATGTCAAACAGAAAGCTGAAAACAAAGAGATAGCCTTACTGCTTGCATGTGCAAAGAATATCTCCAGCAAAGCCATGCAAATTGTAGCTGAGTAAACGTTTTACTACGGACAAGTGAAGGAAGGTAAACTAAGACCATGACAGGGATTTCAAAACTTTTAAAGATCCTAACTGCCATAATTGGAACCATAAGACACTAACAGCATGACTTCCCATGAAATCAGACATTTGCTTTGTGTATGATAATGTTTGTAGTAGAACAGCATGTAAAATGATCAGCAGGCTTTCACACCAATCTGAGTATGACCATTACAAAATACTAGCAAGATTTAGAAATTGCCTCATACAGGGTTGTGGAGGCACAGTGACCTCATGATTAGTACGCTTGTCTCCTGATCAAGCATCTAGGTGTGAGCCCTGGTTGGGGACATTGTGTTGTGTTCTTGGGCAAGGCACTTTACCCCTCACAGCGCTTCTCTTCATCCAGGTGTACAACTGGGTACTGGCAAATTTAATGCTGGGGGTAACCCTGCGATGGACTAGCATCCCATCCAGGAGGGAGTAGAAATACTCCTAGTCGCTTCATGCTACAGAATAAGCTCTGACCTGATGGGCCACATGGCTCGTATGCAGAATTTACCTACCTACCCTAAAGGGTTAACATTTTCAGTGGAGACACACTGGCATAACCATTAAGTGCATAAGACTCCACATTGAGAAGTTTGCAGGGTTGTCAAAACAGCCATTGCTGATAAAAATTATCATTATCATTATCTCAGCCAGCTACTCAGCAGTGAAATTCATCTCATTCATTCACAGAGATGCCACTTACCACAACAATAATACAGATTACTTCAAAACATTTTGATAACCCAGACTCTGGAGTTCTGAAGCCCTGGTCAGGGTCTTTGTGTTGTATCCTTGGGCAAGACACTTAATGTGTAGCTAATACACTGTGACCTTTTCAAGCACCAAGGTATATGTCTTGAATAGATACAAACAAATTGCTGGGACAAAATGGGGGCCGGCAAGATTGGCTATAATGGACTGGCATCCCCTCTGAGGGTAAGGAGCAGGTGGGGGGGGGTGGATGGTAAAGCACTGTCACTGATTAATGATCATTTAAGAACCTTTAATGTTCAGGCTTAATTTTTTTACTTGAAATAAATTACTATTAATAATTGGCACTAGAATTAAGCGCAGGAACATTTTTTACAGCAGACAACCACAGGCTTGATTCCAAGTGTCTAAAGATTTAAAACTTCAGTGCTGAATAGCTTTAAACCTCACTTACTGTGTAACAACTAAGTTCATATGACTTAGATGTAGTATAAACATGTCCTTTTCTACTGATAATTGAAATTATTTTTATCAAACATACAGCAAAAGTAATGTCATCAACTGGAAAAATATCTAAAAAAAAAACTCTAAATAGGCTAAAATAAAGCTAAAACTAAAGTCTAATTAATGTAAATGCAGTACTCTACAAATCTGGAGCATTTCAAATTGATTATTGATGACAATTTCATGTTAAACATCAAGATAGGAAAGGTATCAAATGAAATAATTATTACAATATTCTCAGTTCTCACCTTGACATCAGAGTTTTCAACAAGTCTCCCTCCTCCAAATTAACCAATATTTCTAAATTTTGACTAAAAAAGACAAACAATGTTATAAATTTGAACTCAATCTATAAGGAAATCCACAACTGACTTTTTTCATTAAATTATTATTGAAAGGACTCAATAAACTTTATGTTTCTTGTTTCTCTGTCATTCCATTTTAAGCCACAGCAGTTCCATACCCAGTGACATAGAACTCACTTAATAAACTTATTGCTGGGCTATTTACCACTGTGGTAAATAGCCCAGAATAGGTCCAGAATAGGGTATAATTTAGCAGAAATGTGGCCAGTGTATAAATAATTTAGTCTAGAACTGGTTCATTATACCCGGTTCATTATATCCGTTTCTATTAATAATAGAAATTACAACTTGGAACTGACTTTGTAAGATATTGGTTTAGTTAGCATAGGCTGGACTATGACTGTAATTCGGTTTCTGCAAATAGCCATTCTGGGTTAGGGTAGGGGTTTTTGGTGCCTAGTCTAGAATAGCATTCCAGATTCAAGTCAATCATGTCTAGTATAGCAGGAGTTTCACTTAAAGGAAATTGACAGCTGCGACGACAATTTACCTGGCTGGTTCAAGGGCCCATTAACCGATTTGTGCGCGTGCTCGTGCATGTTGCTAAGGAGGTGAAATTTCACTTCTGGTTACCTACGTCAGCCTGAGCGCAGAAAATAAAAACAACTCAATAACTTGCAAATTCACTTACATTTTACATGTTTTTTCTTTGTGTTTCACACATGCAAAATAAAAAAGGTACAAGCAAAGACAAAGTAAGAGAAAAACAGAGCAAAAAAAAGAGAAAAACTAACTCCGTGTTGTTTTGTGTGATCTTACCGAAGTGCACTGGTAGTGTAAATTGTGCACGCGCTGATAGGGTAACTTCCAATAAATATTGGGCGCACTTCCAGTTTCTTTAAATGGGAAAGGAAACGTGGTTTTTCATTAAATCAAGCCTATTTCGACGAGATTCGATTAAAGCCAAGGTTGGAAACATAAATATGTATTCCTTTTTCCAAATTGTGCTTTCTTTAGAAAATTGCACATTTGTCAATATTTTGAAATTCTCTCAAAATCTGACCCTTAGAAATGAAACAAAATCTATGCATAGTGTAATGAGGATAAATTTAAAATATTAAATCAATGAAAAAAATCCCAATGAAGTAATTTTCCTAGAAGCCTTTGCATTTTTTCAGTATTAGTCACATGACCAAGGGTGTGGCCTGATGACATCATCACTGGTGTTACTGATGATGAAAAGTTAAAACACATGAAGTAACTCTGAACTAAGTAAAAACAATGAGGTTATATGCGAATAAGTTTTCCTTAGCAACGGCTCGAAAAGATCAGTTAATGGGTCCTTAACCATCTAGTGGGAAGTTTTTCTTACAAAGAAGTTCAGTTCCAGTAGTTTTTCCCCCCTGTGAAAACCAGTTGCCTTTCTGCTGAAATCGTTAACGAAACCCCTAGTATAAGGTAAGGGTTTCAGTGTCCCAATGGTACAGCCCTACCCAATGATTTACAGAGTACCCCCCAGGCATTTAAGGTGGTGTTAATTTACATGACACAACAGGTATGCATTTTATAATGATGCATTGGTATCGAATGAGTTCATCTTGGATTATTTAATAGATTTTCATTTTGGTAAAGGCAAAATGAAAATGCCATGAATGTGTGACTACTCATTTCAATGCAAAGTCAGTGACCAGACCCTGGGGAGGACTCCTACATGAAAAGATTGGGGATGCTTGTCAGAAAATTTGAATTAAACCCCTAAAGGAGACCAATCTGGGTGTGGCTTGAGCATTGTTTGATCCCTAAAAGATACCAGTTAAAATGAAATGTGTACATTTCCAGAAAATATCCATACCTTCCCCACGGATGGGACTTTTTTTAAGACCCCCACCCCCCCTGGAAATTCCAATTAAGCTTCATACTTCTTTAAATGTCTTGGTCTTACAGACCCCCCCACCCACCCCCCTCCCCAGGAAATTCCAATTTATTCTGTGTGGGAAGTAGGGATATTTTCTGGAACTGCACAATAGGCTTTATTACTGGCCGCTGTTTGGGAAAGGAGCCTGGCTACTAGACTGGACTTAAGAGACTGGCCTATGAGCCAAAAATCAGAGATACGAGCAGCTTATTATTATTCCTGACCTTGACAGCTAAAAGTAGAGGTGTTTTGTCATGAACACCTCAGTGAGATCAGAGTCCTTGATTTATACCCGTAACCAAGACGACAAGCATCCGCGACCTTTTCATAAGGGAGTCCCCCCTCGCATGAGTACCAGACATGTGCTTTGAACCACTTTGTCTCAGAATGAAACTTGTATGTGCATGAAATCAGATTCAGTAAGGAGGTGCAAAACGAAATATTGCTGCAAATAACAAAATGAAACTGGTGCCAGTATGAAATCTGATTACACTCCATAGGAGTACCCTGGAAGGCAGAGAGATTTTTCTTTTGTGCTGTGAGATCGACATTGACCAGAGGCCAACACTATGACCCGATAAGTTGTAAGACAGCTTACCATCAATTAAGTCCTGGCTGAAATCAGAAATCGAGCAAGAAAAGCAGTCAGTTGTAAAACACAGACTGCAGACTGCACACCGGGGTAAAAGGCACACTGTATACTATAGACTTTTTAACTAAATTGTGTTACCATTTTCATCACTGAGAGCTAACCGTAAACAGGCTAACTGGAGCATTATTTAGGCTTACCCGAGTGATATTCAGTCTAACCGAAGTGCAGACTTTCATTGCGGTTAGCCTGAATAACCCTGTTTACGGTTAGCACTTGATAATAAACAATTATTGGATGAAGTTTTTGTGATGTCCAGAATAATCGAGGTTGAGGTAGGGGTTATCAGCCAAAGCCGAAGGTTGAGGCTGATAACCCTTACCGAGACCTCGATTATTCTGGATATCACAAAAACCGAATCTAATAATAATTATTGTTTTATTATACATGAATGGAAAAAAATGAAAGTCATGTTTTTGCTTCTTCACTGACGGCAAGCAGCACAAAGCGTGCGAACTTCACATGATCATGCATTGCGGTCATACATGACATGATTACCCGTGACCTTGAGTGTCCTTGACATGATTATTGTATAATCTGCAGTTGTGACGTCACGGGCGCTGATTTCGAAAATTCACCATACGCTTTCGGCCAATCCAAAGAGAGATAGTGAGTTCAATGTATAATAATGGAAATAATCCAATATATACTCAAAAGGTCTGTGGTCTGCTATCTGCATTTTACCCCTCAGTCTGCATTTTACCCCCGGTCTGCAGTCTACAGTCCGCAGTCTGTGTTCTACACTGACCAGCAAGAATAGCCTCCGGCAGCCAGGGTATTACAAAGGGGAGACCACTTCAAACCATGAGATAATAGTCACTGGGGTAGGCTCAATAATACTTTATTACCAATTTGTAAAAGTCATTTCGCTGAATTGAGACCATGAAATCATTTGATAAGAACAGCAATGTGGCCGATCAAATGACCAGTTAGCGAAAGCCTAGATTTCTTGGTCTTCCTATAGCCCCTTACCATCAAATTCTCGTAACCATCCCAAATAACGAATAAGAAAACCTGTAAGGAGAACTGGTATTTTCATCCTTAGGATCGAGTGCTCTGTGAGACATAAAAGACGTTTTAGTGATAACAAAACAAGCTTTGTTCAGTTTTGTGTCTGCAGTCGTATTAACCCAATCATTTAACTTTCATCCTCAGGGTTTTCCCATTAAAGCGCCACGTGAGGACAATGGTCAAAGCAAACGAAGAAATGAAGAAAAGGTCACCAGTTTGAGCGAGGCGGACAATTTCTGTAGCATGTTTTTGTAGATTTTGTTTGTATAATAGAGTGTAAATTGCACCAATATTAAAAAGACATTGCTTTCCTTCATGTTGTGAAATTAAGCTTATAATCGTAAATCGTATTGAGTTTGTTGTCCTAAACGCGTCAAGAGTATTTGTGTAGTTTGTGGATCACGTCTTGCAGATTTGCTTAGCTTGCTATCAATATCTTTAACAGATAATTCTTTGCCCTGATAATGTAGAACAAGAACGTTTGAAATACATACCCTTTTAGCTCACTTGGTGCAGTTAATCTCTCTACATCGCTCTGTTGCGCGATCGACGCTAATGCAAAGTTAACGCGCTACCCTTGTCCGGGCGACCAGGTGCGCCCTGGGGCGACTTGTCCCCAGACCCCCAGACAATCGCAACAAAATTGTGCGCTCAACTGACGTGACTGTAAAATATTAGCCATGAACGCCCATACTTTTTTGGTCGCTTCGGCCACTTGTAAGTGATTGTACAGGGTGGGCCGAGTATTTTACTCGTGTTTTCATCATCAGGAATTTCCGCAGGGCATCAACCCTGCATAGTCTCCCGTTTGTCGTCACGCAACGCTTCACCCCCTGTGGAAAGTTAGTAGCGTTTATAGTAGAAGCGTTGTGTGACCAACTATGTAACAGCTGCGAAGGAGTCTAGGTAAGGGTGCGTTCCTTTGGGGTAATCTGGATCAGGATCAGTGATCCTAGATCGCTCGGATCATGGTGCATCAAAGGAGCCGATGAATTCGTGACCAGAATGGATTCATCGGTTCCTTTGATTGGCCATATATGATCTGAGTAATCTTGGATCACCGATCTTGACCCAGATTACTCTAGAGGGTCCAACCCAAAAGTCTGCATCTCCGAAACGTAGATCGCGATTTGCAAATTTTTTTTCACGAGGGAAGTTGCAATTGCTTGTAAAGGGCGATTGGTGATGAGACATTTGTTGGTCTTCCCATAGGTCAGGAGATTCTCGAATTAACTATGTTTGTCAGGCGTGCATTTGGAAAGACGTTGTTCGCAAGTAGACGCAGGTAGAAAACTGGGGTTTACTTGCGACTCTGTTTGGCCAGGCCTTACGCACACTTACGTTGACTTTCGATGACTTGCGATCACTTTAGTCGAGATCAAATTTCCACGTAACTCGACGCAAGTTTTTCACCGTTTGGTCACCCAGCCCAAGTCAACGCAAGTTGACGAGTGACCTCTCTTTGTTGTTATAGCAGCCTATAAGCCCACGAAATGCAAGACATGTCTGCCTTAAAATGTTTTTATTTTGTTTTTTGTGACTTGCGTGTACTTGCGAAGAAACTTGCGAGTCCTTTATTTTTGTTTGGCCACCCAACACAAGTCTCTATGCAAGTTCAACTTGCGACTACTCGCGAGCCGGTTTGGCCAGGGCTTTACGCAAACATTCATCTGGCCATCTTATATAAATCGAATTATTTTGGCGTGAATTTAGATTCTCAGCTGATATCACGAGTCACAAAGTTCACTGCATCAGTTCTGTTTCGATACGCGGTAACCGGTCGTTTAACCTAAAGTCGATTAGCTCCTACCCTGTTAGCCCCCAACCAGGGGTCGATTTGCCCTCAAAAAAAGTCAATTAGCTCCCACACGAGTCGATTAGCGTACTTAGCGTCAAGTCTTAATATATTTGTCTGATTGCATGCGCGTGTAGTTGAATAAGCTACTGTTTACTCAATTATCCTAAACAACCACTCAACATACATGGCCGGCCTATGGATATAAAGGAAACTCTATCGCCGCTGGACAACAAATTAATGAAAACCATTTCATCAGTCTAAAATCATCAGACATCTGATGGTTTGTTCTGATGACTTAACCGGGAAATACTACGATTATCAGTTGCGTAAGGCGAGACGAAAGTTTGGTCACCAAGTTTTAACGTAAAAATCGTGTTGTTGTCACGAGCAACTGGCTCCGTATCCGTTGGCAACTTGTCCGCCTTTGACGTCAATTGGTAGCAAAGCGCGCGAAATTGTAGGCGACGCGACAGGCGACCAACGGCTGTTGATATTGTTACCAACGGAAACGAGGTAAGTTGCCCGTGACAACAACACGATTTTTACGTTAAAACTTCGTGATCAAACTTTCGTCCCGCCTTACTCAACTGATAATCGTAGTAACTTGAATCAGGGGCGGACTCCTGTATAAAAAGGACGGGGGTGCCCGTCGTACCTTTCAGGGGTTGAAAAAGCGGTTTTGGTGTTCCTTAGGGTGATCGGCCTCAAAAGTTCCTCAGCGGGAGCTTTTGCGGTACGTTTTAGGGAGTTGAGCCGAAAAAATATGACAGGAGATAATGTGTTGATTTAGATTTGGTACCTCGAAGGGGTGAAAAAACTTTCAAGCCACGCCCACAAAACAGGATCTTGGTACCTCTTAGGAATTCTGTTCAAAATTTCCGAGGGGCACCCCAGTTTTTTTTTTTATATGGGGGTCCCCCGGGAACGTGATTTGTGACTTAGAAATCCACCTTACTCGCACGACACTTTATAACTATTGTCGCCATCTTTTAGCTAGCCAAATGTAAGCATGGTTTGAGGCACCCATGTCCAATGGGCTCAAAGTGAGTCGAGTCGTCTCTGTCTATGGGCGAGTGGTCTTAGCAGAAGTCATGTCGGGAAATTCACTGAGTAACTTGGCCTTTCTGGAAGTTTACATACCTTTAAGAAAGTCTGACTACACTCACCGTGACGAGTCAACTAACAATACCGCGTGAAAGAATTGGAAGTCGCAGTCTCGCCGTCACGACTCACCGATACGAGTAGCCTCTTCCAGGCGTTCAGTTAGTTAAGGCGCAGAGCGTAAAACGGTGAGCGAAAAAATAGGGGAGAAGCGCGGCGAGAGAAAGCTTTCTTCCTATTTTTTCGATAGCCTTTTTTCGCGCTGCATCCCAACTAACTGAACGCCTGGAAGTGGATAGATGCGACTCGATATGACTAAGAGCCCATGACTCGACCCGTTCTTCAAATGTCTAGCGCAATATGTGTGCAGACAAAAAACAATGCATGAAAAAATAATAATAATAAAAAAAGCAATAAAATAGAAATAAAGCGAAAACAAAAAGAGCCCATGCAACATATACCTCGTTAGCGGGACAGCCCTCTTGGTGTAAATACAAACGTAAAAATTAAGTACTTTCAGAAAGCTACCCTGCTGCACAAAGTCCGTAAAGTCGGCGAAAAACAGTTTTCAAAACTTATTTTCGAAGGGAAGCTAAAAAGCACGATTTTACATAGTTCCGATTCATCTTCGGCTTGGGTGCGAAGTTAGTTTGAATTAATTAGCAATTTATCCCTCGGACATACAAGCTAACTCATATCTCCACCATGGTACAAGGGGGAGTGGGGGTTGATGGAACCCCCCTCTGGATTTTCGTTCTGTTAAGGCACAGCGAAAAATAAATTTCCCCTATTTAGATAGCCCTGAGCCTGCTCTACAAGATGATACCATTTTTGCTGGTTATGACGTCATATTACGTCAACTGACGTCATTTAATCCGCTATCTTAGATCCGCCATCTTGGATTTCACTAAAGTCAAGAAATAACGGAAATTAGTATATACCACACAAGTGAATAGTGCTTTTCGTGCGCTCTGATTGGTTAACTCGGAGGTGATTAGCAAGTACTATTCACCTCCGAGCAACCGGCGCGAGAGATTTTAAAATTTCCGACTGCTTGTCACACATAAATAACGTTTTGGTCCGCTAATTACTCAGTTTGTGTGGTATATACTAAAACAATTATTCACCTCAGTGTCGGTGAAAGTGATGGATATTTACCTCCACTTCGGTGAATAATTGTTAATAAATGGAAAAACAAGACAAATGTTTATGAAATCTACAAATTCGCGATTTTCGGAAAATTGATGAAGAAAACTGGAAAAAAGTACAGCGTTATGTCTAAAAAGTTGATTTTTGGCCAAACCTACATGAAATTTGTGGTTGCCATGGCAACGTCAAAAATTGCAGAGGATGAATGAACAGCTACTGAAAGTTTCAGCCCCTTAGAGTAAATCGTCTTTTCAAAAATTTGAAAAAACCTTATGGGGGCATGATCCCACCCCCTCCCCCTTGTACGTCCGAGGGTTAACATAACTGTATATCTACAAAGTTCTTTCTGTGATATAGATTTACTTGCAGATAACTTTTGTGCTCCATTCATTTTTTAATTCATCATTGCTCGCATGCGGGTGACTGTACAAGTCTGGAAGCCATAATGTAAGAATTGTTTAACGTTTGCGGTGGAAATACACACTTAGAGAAATAGTACAAGAAATGTCTACTACCTGACAGGCTCCGTTCATAAACTGGTAAGAAAATAAGGCGCACTTGAATAACTGATTTGGAGAAGTTATAGATTTAAAGTTACTCATTTTGTAGAAAGTTCTTCATTTTGTATTAGGAAGGGTTGGGGGGGGGGGGTGCGGTTGTTTTTTATAGATTATAACGTTCTGATTGTGGGACTGATCCCAGCGGTTAACTTGCATTGAAAAATAAAAGGCTCTAAACTAAGAGGACAGAAAAATAAAACACATCGCAGAAAACTAACTTTTTTCTACGCGATCCTCTCTTGCCAGAGAAAAAAGTCATTCTTGGAAATAACGAAAAGTGCATGTTTTTGAAATTGATTTAAAAAATCCGGCTTTTTGTGGAACGAAATTTGGGGATGTTTTTCAAAATCTGAGGGCTTGAATTATTCAATGAAACCTAAAAGAAAACAAAATCAAAAAATGATTTCGTTGTTGTCTCCTTTGTTCGTACAAGCACTCAAAGTCACACGGGCGAATATGTAGCATCGCTTATGCAAAAATAACTTTAGACAAGGAGTTGAAGCAGATATTTATAATCCCAGGTAATCCCAGAAGATCTGGGTACGGGTACTCGGAGATTACTGACCCTCCCCTCCCCAATCAGCCAATACAGTAAACACGTCTTTTGGTCAGCGGTTGAACACCAGACAGCTGTCATGGCGTCCACTCGAGCTGCAGCTTGTTCAATTTTCATTTGCAAATAGTTAGACTTTGCAAAGCCTTAGAACACGAAAATGAACGTCGAACGAATTATCTTCCCTGGACCGTTGTGTGCACCTCTTGCCTACGACCCTTCATTCAAAGGTTTGTGCATGTTCTTGCTTGTTTTCCAAACTCGAAACCAGTGTATTGTTTCACCTGTTTGTTTGCGTTCTTTAGTGGAGGTTCGACTTCATGAACCACTTTGGAAGGTTCAGTTCTCTCCAGACGATGTTGCCATTGAGGTTTTAACTTTGTGCTCCCAACTGGAGCCCCTTTGCAAGAAAGAATACGCTGTAAGCAACGTGTTTCACCTATCAAGATTTTTATTGATTGTTAAGTTAATTTTGCTTTTCTAGGTAAGCTGACATGTACATCTTCAAGTCAGATAAGTGTTACGTCAAGTCTTGACCCAGCCTATCTACACACATGAAACTATAAGAAATGACTTTAAGTTAGCTATTTCATGTAAAAAAAAATACAGGGATGCAGAATAAAACCATGCAGAAATATCTATTAAAACACCTAATTCATTAAGCTTACAATGTGGTGTTAGGCATTATGCACCAAATGGGGGTAAACAGGCCTAAGAAAGTGATCTCTTATCAAAGATCATGGGACAGGTTTTTTTTTTAGCAAAAGCCAGGGTTTTCATTGACGTTTTCAGTAGGAGAGCAACCAGTTTTCACAGGTGGGCTAAGCTCTTTGAACTGAATTTCTTTGCAAGAAAAATTTCTCCTCTAGATGGTCAAACCAGCTGGTCAATTTGTCCGGTGCCTGACCCTTAGTGAAACCCCTGAAAAACTGTAAACAAATATATGTCACTGGAGGTGAATTCAGAAGGTATGTCACCTTGGAGTAGAAGATCTATATAAGTGAGGCAAGCCATGTATTCAAATTGCCTTTCTCCTACCCATTTCCCATACCTTCCTTCTTTTTGAGGCTACCTAAATCTGCCACTGTGCCTGGGATAAGGAAGGTCAGAATTATGAAATTGTGGTATACATTACTGGAATGAATTTAGTTTATAAATTAAAATGTTATATTTGATTTGTTTTATGCACTTAGACAACTCTGGGCAAGATTGATGCAGCTCATAAAGTGGAATATCAAAATAAGTTTGAACCAAAAGGTACAATATAAAACAAATTTAATTGGTAGCTAATGGATAACAATGCAAGTCAATTTGAAAGAGAGAACTTTGCAAGATCTGGAGATTTTGAGAAAATTCATGTATAGTGACGAACAGGTGTCCCATCCCCTGATAGAAAAGTTAGTTTAACTGATCTGGTCCAGTAACCAGTCACCTTATCAGGCCTTCTGACAGGGTGCAGGGGTGTGGAAACCGCACAATTCAGTCAAAACCCAGACAATAATATAATTTGGATCCAGGATTTTTCAAGAAGGGGAGGTATGGCTAGTACTTTGGGGTTGTAGAGTCAACTGAGCATGCCCCAAAATGTTGTAATCTGAGAATTGAAACCTAATTTTAAAATGTTCTTCCAGAATTACTAGCAATGCCACAAACTAGAAATTACGATCTTACGATTTTTCTTTACTATAACATTCTATTGATTTTGGTTTCATACATGTTGAGTTAAGTCAGTTATCACGTAAGAGACAGAGTCAGTCAGACACAGTTTGTTAAAACAAGTGGTGATTGCTAGTATTATTTGAAAGTCTACTAGACAGTAAAATAAATTTGGCTAAGTGTTCATCACTGCAGTATTTCCTTGCTGTAGGACTTAGCAAGAACACTTGAAATTGGATTGCACAGTCCTGCATAATTCCCAGCACAATCGACATTTTCCCTGGCACAATTTGCCTCCTAACCCTCGCACAATTTTTTTTTCCTGGGCCCTGTCAAAAGGCCAGCATCATGCTATTGGACCTAGGCTGCAAAGTGACTACCAAATAGTTTGCACAGGTCTCAATGCTGAGGGTTCAGAGAAAATGCTTCTACAAAACATTTCTTGGCTAGATTTGCAGTGAAACATTTTTAAACTGAATTTCATTTTCCAATCCCAAGTGGTTTAAAATGCAGTCTGATATCAAAATTGTACACATGATCTTTTGCTAAAGTACCGGTCAAAGAGATTGCAGCACCTACACACACGTAAAATGCGTGTAGTCTGCGTGTAGTATTTCTGGACACTGCATGTTAGGTGCGTGTGAGGTGCGTGTAATTACACACGTGTAAAATTTACTGATCTGGTAGTTGCACACATTTGTGTGTAACTTCACCTGTATACGTGTATTTTAATTGGAAGAAGAAACCTTTGTTATTCATACACGCATTTGCGTGTATTTTGCAAAACAAAAAGCCACAACTAACTTTTATTCGATACACATGACTCTCAGTCCTCTCAATGTTCACAACAAAAAGTAAATTTAAAAGCTGACAAGCATTGCTAAATAAGTGGACTAGCTTGCGCACCTATCAAACAAATACTCTTTCTTAATCTCTAGCAGCCCGCACTTCTGCTTAACGTCAAAACTTTTAAATTTGTAAAGATCTCTGAGCTTTCGTTTACGTTAGAACGCATACGATGTACGTTGCATCGTAGTGTTTACCCATGCACGAAATGTCATTTGAACTCCTGTTCCTTCAATAAGAATGAAATAGGGATTCAAACAGAAACTCACGGACTCTCTCTTAATCTTAAACGGCAAAAAATCGAAGCTTTTTCTGATCAAAATCTAAGCATTCATTAATTTTTAATTCATCAGATTCTTGTGTAACCTTCTGACCACAACCCGCAATGTTTACACCCGGTGCGTTTGATTATTCAGCTTAAATTACAATGCATTTGAGTACCGATAAGCTAGCTTCGAGAAAAACATTCGGATTTTCATCCATGAGTTAAGTGCAGTTGACAGATCGCTGCGTGTCTGTATATGTGTATGCGTATGGAATAAAATGAAGTAGTAACAACAAACATCTTTCACACTGCACAGTATTTTCGCCTGGGTAGATTTTGGTCACGTGCTAGGCAACGCTGTTCAAGAAACAGATCGAATTTCATTTTTATCAGATTAAAACAATATCAGATAGAGAACATTCACTTCTGAGCACTATTAATGACGAATCTTCAAATGCTATTTAAACTTAAAGAAGGACAACTGATGTTTAAACATTAACTGAAAATCTCAAGTGAAATATTTTGTTTTGCTGTTATTTCGTGTCCGTCAAGCCTCAGTTTGTCAGTCGCTGACACCCTCGTTATTTCTCAGGAAAAGATAAACACATGTCGGGAAAATCTTTAGAACACCGGTGAACTCCGAACGTTTCAGAGTGCGAAATATTTTTAATGAATCTTCGGATTGATTTTACGTACACTGATTGCTGTTATTTAAAATTGAAAGCGACATTATAAGTTTGTGTCCTGCTATCTCAGTGAATCCTAGCACGCCTGCCAGTCATTGGCACCGCTTGTTGAAACTACAACGGAATTAAAGTACTTTCACTCTCGAGCAGTAAGTCGGTTTAAGGAAACTGGTTGATTCTTTTGGAAACGTTTGATAACCAGAAGCAAGAAGGCGAAAGATGAAACTGCATTGCATTGCAGTGCAGTGCAGTACGGTTAATGTTACACAGTGAATGTTTTGTTTTCATTACACGCACTTTTAATATTTCATTCTCATTACATGCACTTAATGAGTTCCAGTTGAACGACTGTGAGTAATTTTACACGCAATATCACGTCAACTGTGTGTGTAATTACACACATTTTCGTGTATTTGCATGTAAGGTGCGTGAGGTGCGTGGACACTGCGTGGACACTGTGTGTAATGTGCGTGTAGTACATGCGCTTTACGCGCATGTAATGCTGTAGTCCCTTTGACCAGTACTGTATTTAGAATTTGAGAAATCACTAGGAGCTTCATGTGGTTTGCTTCATTATGTAAACACTAGTAACTAGTTATAATACCAATATCAAATAATTTGTGGCATAACTAACAGATAGTAAAATCTGCTAAATTTCAGCTCAAGTACTTTTTGAGAAAATGCGGGAAATGATTCACTTTCTCCCAGACCCCAGACCAACACTGAAAGTAAGTGAGACTTTACTTGATGCTTTCACATTCAAATTGTAATTTGATGATCAAAATTCAACCAAACTGGTGTTTATTTATCTTGATAATTATAACAAATCTTGAGGGAATTCAATTAAATCAAAATATCACAAATTATTATTTTGTTCTTGAGGTGATAAGTTCTCCATCCAGGGTTCTTTCTGGTCATGCAATCCCCGTGGGGGATACTCCCTTATATGGGCGTTATAGATATGTGTGGCCCCAAAGGGTATCACAAGTTTTTGACCGTTTTAGTTAGAAATAGTTTATCGATTTTGGTCATTTTTGTCTCTGAAATAGGGTATGGTTTTTGCACTCTTGTTTTGAATTCAGTGTTTCTTTTTTAAGGCCATCAACAAAGGCCCTTCGCAATGCCTTTAACATCGGTTTGAACTATGTATTTTAATTAATCATGAGACAGGTCTGAAACATCGATTTAAAGGTCAGGTCTTAAATAGGGTATCAAATTTTGGTGAGGTCATAAATAAGCTAGGTAGAGAAAATCACAGAGTTTTGTCTTAAATAGGTTAAGGGTTTTGGGAAGCAGGCACCCCCACCTGATTTTTCTAGGCATGCCCCCCTTCCTCCTGTGGGATAGAATCCTACCTGCACTGCCTTCCTATCATGTTTGGAAGTGCAAGAGCTACAGTACGTGAAAGCTTGGGGTGAACGATTGAGCAAATAGAAGCAGTGAGAGGGGACCAGTGGAGAATGAAAGAAACCATATACATGCATGGGTAATCAAATGGTCATAGAGGAGATTAGGAAATAATTTCAAGCATGTTTTGGCAAAAGTTTTGTAATTTCCCAAGCCTTAGGCGAAGGACATTATTACAGTTTTGACAAAACATAATTGAAATATTATTACTTGCTAATTTCACAGGTATACTATCATGGGTGTCAAAAATCTGTGAGCTTTTTACTTATTTTAATTAATATGTTGTCTAGAAATTTTGTACCAAACATTGCCATTGATGGCAATTTTGTTATTTCACATGACTGTGAAAATATAAATAATTGCTGAAATTTTGTGCCAAAATTATGGAGTAATTTGTCACCCATGTATGATATTAGGTTCTGTTACAATTGGTTCCAAAGATTTTTAAGGAAATTAAGCCAGTTTGTCCATTGATGGGAGGCTATGAAGCATCTTGGTTGGCCTACAGCCCAGTAGTTAACTATGCATGATTAATGGGCTACATATGGTGCTCTTAAACAGTATATTAGAGCAGAAATCTGCTATCTGTTACCTCTTGTTTCACTTTTTTTTTAAACAGATATTTACGATTCTATTATTATTTTTGAAGTTTCCACAAGTTTCCTAATGAAATTTATTAAATACAAATTAGTTTAAATTAGCATAGGAGATGCAGTGACCTCATGGTTAGTGTACTCGACTCTGGATCAAGCAGTCTGGGTTCAAGCCCGGGCTAGGGACATTGTATTGTGTTCTTGGGCAAGACACTGTACTCTCACAGTGCCTCTCTCCACCCAGTTGTATATATGATTGGCTACTGTCAAATTTAATGCTGGGGGGTAACCGTTCGATGGACTAGCATCCCATCCAGGGGCGAGTAGAAATACTCCTAGTTGCTTCATGCAACAGAAACCGAGACAAGCTCCAGCCTGATGGGCCACTTGGCTCATTTGCAGACTTAACATTTTACCTTTTAAATCACCAGTGATTTTTCACTAATTTGTGAGCATGATCTTTTCGTTACAGGAGTACCTTAGACAGACTGGATTGTCATTACTGTTTCCAAGAGTCACTTCTTATTTAACAAATCCTGAGAGGCCGGCATTTCAAACTCAGAAATCCTCTATGGATGGTAATTATTGTTTCTTTCAGTAATAAGACAAAATAATGCCCAAAAAATAGGGAACAGTTTATAAAGAAAAGATCACTATTCACTGTAATATTTATCACAATTAGCATTTTTCTACTTATTATAAATTCAACTTCCAGCAAGCTCTGTACATTAATCAACTGAAGATGACAGTAGGTTCTGTCGAAACGTGTCTTTTAAACATAAACGTTTTGTTGTTTTCTTGAAAAATAATAAATAAAAATGGATAATAAACTTTAAGGTAATTAGTCACTGTGATGATATGTTACTTTGAGTCTTGACTTTTGCAAGCCAGAAATGCCTTCCTCTCCTCAAAAGCCGTTGTTAAATACTTATCATTAATTGTGACATTAACAGATAATTAATTTTATGTGATGAAAACTCTGAAAATTGCACAAATTTTGAAATAACTAGTCCAAAAGTACAAGTGGAGTATTTTATAAGTGCAAATTTTACAAGACATGTAAATTCAAATACATATAACTATGAATTTATGGTTCAAATAAGCGTGGCTCTTATAATTTCCACCCCTACACTGTAGTTTATTGAAAACATATTTTTGAACTGTTGTTTTGAGGGGAGATTATAATTATACTAGCTGAAGGGAATTTGACGTCATATTTTGAATGTTTTTTTTTTTGGTTGAATAATTTTCACCAGGATAGGCGAGTACCTAGCAAGTTAACCGTCAGCCTCAGGAGGGGAGTACTCTACATAATCTTATAAGGGGAGGCTCCGCCCGAGGTCCAACCCCTTACCCTTTAATATACTATTTTGGCAGAAAAGGTACATCTTTCGTATATCTGTTATTGGAAAAAGGTATCCCTTTCATATACGTACTTAAGAACACTGCATCACTTTTCTAAACCCTTGCAGTGAAGATAATGAACAATACTATGGGAGAACATCAAGAATTACCAGAATTGTTGTCAACCAAACAACAGGTTTGATTTAGTCAGTTACCGTTCATGTTATATCTAAATGACAGATTTTCCAACCCTTTCATACCTCAACTTGTGAAATCCCTGCCCTTTCATATATCTGAAGGCTGAAAAAGGTACTCCTCTTCGGCAGAGCCTCCCTGTATAGGCAATTATAGGGAATACCCCACCCCCCTGGGCCATGAGCTAAGCTATGTGGTTGTTCTCATTGCAGGGTATTTTCTGCACCTTGGAATGTTGAACCAGCTTATAACCCTGAGTCACCAGCTGAACAGTGATGCATTCAACCTCACAAATCACAAATACATGGCTCATCAGACAGCGCTGCTATATGTGAGATACTTTACATTGTTTACCTAGTTCATTCCCTTATTGAGATATCTCAGCTACTGTCGTTGTAGGGTAAAAGTTCTACAAGTTTCTTGTATTAATTTTAGAACTTGAAGATCAGATTACCATAAACACCGGAAAATTAATTATAAGTCTGCATAACAAACTAAGAAGAACTTCATAAAAATGTAGCAGAGTACATGTATGCACTGATCATTGCTTAAATTGCAAGTTTGGTGGCTCCTAGAAGAGCTTTTTTTGTTCATAAGCATAAATAAAAACACCAGAAAAAGATCAAATGTATTTCTACAGTACAGCCCAAAAATAATGCATGACCAAGAAGGGGTGCAAGAAGTTCTTGCATTGTAAGAACACACAAGCTGCCACAAGAAGTGAAAATTGTGTGCTTTTGTGGTTTACCTGCAAGAACATTCAAAACACAAGAAGTTGAAAGTCTAACCCCAAGAAGCCGCAAGAAGTTGAACATGAAACCGCAAGAAGCCACAAGAACTTATGAATCTTACCACAACCTGCAAGAAGGCGCAAGAAGTTGCTGTAGGTCAAACTGTCTGTTTGCTTATAAGTGCCGTGTTGGTGGTTGAAATGCTCAGTGCTTGCTCGCAATGTTATCCATAAGACCTTCAGTCACAACCACTGCAGTGGGAAGAGATATATTTTGAACAGCTCAGACCAGATATGGATTTATGTTTGCTTTTACTGTGAAAATAAAATCAAACACGCTTGTTTATTACGCACAGTGTACTTGCATGGTCATGACACCTACAAGAAAAAGCCCTTCGATCACTTGAACTTCACAGTCTGCTAGCAGATTACTCGACAGTCACAAGACATCTCCAAATAGTGAAGCTCATGAAGAAACAGTCCACGTAGAAAAATCGAAGTATGGTGTAGTTAGCCTGGGTTCCACCGGTTTTTGCTTCTGAATGCCAAATGGCATGCAGAAGTGTCATTTTCTTCTTCTTGCGTGATCTGTGAATGAAGACAACTTGTGTTCCTATCTCACACTGAACTGCCAAGACTGAAGACTGCGTGTGTAAACAACTGAGACACTGTGATGTTGTAAATTGCTTTGAGAACTTTTCACAGAGTTATTATTACCTGTCAGGCAAAAAGCTCCTGCAGAAAATATATTTTGTGTTTCTAAACAAGCAGTAACCGAGGAAACTTGAAAGTTGCCCATGGAAGTGAACTTTGTAAATTCTACAATGTTTGCTCAGTAAAACATTACCCATATGTTGTGATAAGCACATTAAATGATTTTCTGAACACCGAAATCTCATGAGTTTTCCTTGTGCATTCCTCTTTTTTCGAGGAGAATCCCATTGAACAAAACCTTTTAAGACAACATTGCAGCTTGAATGTGTAAGATAACAATCATGTTGGTGTGACGTCTTGAATTTGCATAAAGTTTCAAACATGAATATTACTGAGGTGTGAAAAAGTCACGCTTTTGTCATGCATGCATATAATTATAGTCCTGTGCTTGTTTTCGCCAACTGAGAAACTTTCTTGTTTTAAGATTTGGGTTACACTGGGAAGCTACTTGCCAGTAAATATGTTTTCTTTTAACCTTTGCCACAGGGGCCATTCTGGACAGAAGAAGCCATTTCGAATAAGCTTATTTTGCGCTGCTACCACACCGCGAGTCTGGGACTCCGGGACACATCATAATAATACATGTAATTGTAAACAGTAAAATTTCCTCCATGTCGCTGAAAAGCAAAACAAGGCGAACCCGGTATCTAATTCAGAACCAACCGATAAAAATGTACCGTTACTACACTGATGATTATAGTTGAAACCCAACAAAAAGCCAAAAGCCTTATCTCTGTCTCAATCTGTAAAGTTATTTTGAGACGCTCTCGATTCACACATTGCTTAGCACGTGACCAAAGTCTTACCACTGTCAGTAATTAAATCTATCAAATTATTTATTCACAAATGAAAACTCATTCCAAGAATGACTTCAACAGGGTTTAGACTTTTTATGGCTTACACTTTAGAGCTTAATATAAGTCACATCATAAAGAAACTTCCCAAGACCTCTTGAGTAATGATAGCCATATATGTACTGATATGTAGTAAGGTCTAGTGATGCGCTGATTTGTTCTTTCGTCAGTACGGGGTCTTCTTCCTCTATGTTTGTTTTCATTTTGATGGATATAACTACTTTGTAGAATGTGTAAACACCAGCTCACGCTGATCATAGAATTCAAAGTTTCATCAAACACGCATCCGTTCATTAGTTTTGCTTTGGCCGTTTAAGTGGCTTCCATCCATCTTAGGTTGTTTGAACGGTAGCTGCCAGTATCGTCTCAATTAACAGGCATATGTTTCATAATTTGGGTCGGTCCAAATTCAAACTAAGTTCGGCTCTTAAACAGTTTGTTGTCTGAACTGAGCTTTAGAGTTTAAATTGTTAAGAGTTAAGAATTTGTTCCTTTAATACTTTTTATGGTAAGTGCTGGCACTGGAAAAATGTTAATCTGACTGTTTCTTGTGCCTTGGTGAGTTAAGCATCTTGATACGGTTCTTCATGTGCTAAATGATAGGGCAGAGAAGTTCTTGCGGCTTGAAAATCCTACGGCTAAGAAGTTCCTGCGGTTTTAACTTCTAACAGCAAAGAAGTTCTTGGATCTTGCAGGATCCAAGTGCAAGTGACCTGCATGAAGGCGCAAGAAGTTGCTGACTTGTGGACTCAAAAAGAAGTTCTTGCGCATGCATTATTTTTGGGCTGTACTGTAAGTCAGTACACACCCTGTCCATACTATTACAGCACTAAAATTAAAGGTAAGGGTTTCAGCTTGAAGTTTGCATGGGTTTACGTTTAATGAATCAACAAATGTATTACCTTTGATTTAGTTTAATTTCTTTCCAAAAACTTTTTCCAAAAGTTGGCTTGCCAAACTCGGGGTGTGGCTTATCTGCGAGTGCAGCTTATCCGTCGGTGTTTATGGTACTAACTGTCGTAATCCCTCTCAGGTTTTTTCTAAAATATATTTAAAAAGCCTTGTCTTTTTATGTTTATCGAGTCTAAACAGTCTTGGAGAGCTCGAAAAAGTTGTGAAATCACATAATGTCCACCTACGGCTAATGTTCCCACAGCATTTCTTCCAAAATTGCAGTTGTGTTTCTATACCTCCAGTGGGAGGTGCGGTGGCCTCATGGTTAGTGCGCTCGTCTATGGATCGAGCGGTCCGGGTTCGAGCCCTGGCCAGGGACATAGTGTTGTGTTCTTGGGCAAGACACTTTACTCTCACAGTGCCTCTCTCCACCCAGGTGTATAAATGGGTACCAGCAAACTTAATGCTGGGGGTAACCCTGCGATGGACTAGCATCCCATCCAGGGGGGAGAAGAAATACTCCTAGTCACTTCATGCTACAGAAACCGGGATAAGCTCCGGCCTGATGGGCCACTTGGCTCGTACGCAGACTTTAACTTACCTTTTTTCTATACCTAAGCTGATTATGTGAGCACAGGAAATGTCTCCTTTTTGCTAGATATTTGTTTCATACTTGGCAATGCTACTAAAACGTTGCTGCATTATTTGCAATACTTACATGTAGCTTCCATGTAATTAGTTGTGAAGGTCCAGTATATACATGACTGGATTTATGAAAACCATGTTTAATGAAAAGTGCATTCCTTTTCACTAAGTGATTTAGTGGTACAAACTTTTGTGACTTGAAAAGACCTAAAAACAAGTACAGTGGAACCCCACTCTATGGACACCCGCTTATTACGGACAGTTTCTTTGCCCCAGCAAAATGCTCATATCTTTTCTTTAAAATTGAGGTGCTTTATACGGACACTGGTTAGTCCATTGACACCCGCATAAAATTGTCTGCAACCCACCCCTAAATCCCTGGCATTTTTGTGAAATATTTCAGAGCGAACGAAGGCACAAAAATAAACCATATGTGTGGTAACCACAGACACTAGATCAGGTTTCAAGACATCGTTTATTTAAAGTTGAATAAATGAAGGGCCAAAATATTAAAAAAAATATCAACAAAAAGAACTCAACTTGATGTGTGAAACTTATAAGAAAACAAGAAATTATATTTTTTTCTTTGCCACATGACAAAAGTTGAGAAAATTGAACACGCAAAAATGGGTTAATTTTGGACTTCAGAAGACAAAACGAAACCGAATACAATCACATTTCCATTCTTTTACTATAGTGGATAACATTTTAGAAAACACTGGAAAATAAAAGCAAAAGACACATGTTAAAAACAATTTAAAAAGAAGAAATCAGATAATTTCTTAACTGCGCGACGAAATAATACAGCGCAGTGAAAGAAAGATGAAAGTTGCACATCAAAATGACGACAAAAACAAGCCAATTTTTTGAGATAAATTGTATTTCAACTGTGTTAATTTTTTGCCCACTTAGTTCCTTTCTCAGAAGTTCTGTAGTAACTGGATAAGACTCAACAAAATATACTTGAGCGAAGCGAATAAACTAAACAAACAAACTACAGGGGTCGCTGGAAATTGCATATGCAGAAATTCCCCATTCAAAAATACTGTTCACTTTTAAAACCTAAAATTCCCAAATAAAGGCAACCAAATGAAAGAAATGTGACAGTTTAATTCAAGTAGAGGCAAAAAAAATTATCTAAAAGCATAAAAATGTTCAAAATTTCGGAGACGTGCTTCGCTGTAGGACCGCATGTTCGAATTAATTCTTCACACCAGAGCTAAAGCTTGAGTTTTTGCCAATAAGTTTTGCAGTTATTCTATTGGCGGTGGCTTTGCCAATCGTGGTAAAAGTTGAATTCAACTTCGAAGCAATACTGTACGTTACCATTTTTGTTTTCTAAAGTCCAGGAAGCTGCTTTAAATCCACGATCTGTATTCAAAACTCACTTTAAAGCGCTCCGATCGCCTTGTTTTTGCGGTGGTTGAAGGAAGGAAATATTCTTCACCAGAATGGTTTGAGGACTCTGTACACCTTGATCTTCCATTCTGATGCTACCTAAACATCGATTCATGTTTTTCCTTTCTATGTTAAGTGCCAAAGAAGTAATTTCTCCATTTTAGGAATGAAAACAAGACCCTGGAAGTTTGTAGATTTGGCCCGCATCACACCATGATTACCTGCGATTTTCGAGTGCATGATTTTAAGATGAAAAACTGTCTTTCTAGGACCCCTAAAGTCGTCTAAAAGTAGGCTCGGAAAGTTGATTCTCATTGGTTTATTTGTCCTTAACAACAATAGAACGATAGGAGAACCAAAAAGTCTTTAGGGAGGGTAGGAAAGGCAATTATCCTCACGTGCTTTTTACAGCTGGTTACAGCCAGCACAGGAAATTGGGGGTGGGTTGGCTGGCACAGGAGTCAGTGGGTTAATATGGACAACAGACACTTTTCTGTGTCCTGAGTCACAAACTCTCATATATTGTCAAACCTGCTTTACGGACACTTATTATCTGCACACTGTCTATTTTCATTGTCACAATTATGTGATAATTATAGACATTGTACCCTGTTCAAATAATAACAGATTTTTATGGGTTAATAAAATTTTATTACTAAAAAAAAAAAGTAACAAAGTAGCGTGACATATTTGATTTTGAGCAGTCTGTCTTTCTTCCAGTGTTTGACTCTTGTACTACGTATAGTCCTTCAATAAAGTTTTCTGCCTCCTGTTACACACGTTTCACTTCCTTGTAGTAATCTATGAGAGAGCATTTGATGCCTTGACTTCTTAAAATAGCGTGAATGATTCTATTAGCCTATTTTAAGCAAATGACTATTGGTAAAATCAACATCATCATTTACAATATCAACAACTGAAGTTTTAGATGTTATGACAAAGTCCAATATTTTCCTTGGGTTTTCTGGTCCCCTCTATAAACTATGATTTGTTGATACGTTGCGTGATGGCGACAGTATTTGTGAACTTACAAGTTTAATACACTGTAGGTGTTTACATTTGCCTTCAAATTTCCTGCCAAACAAATCGTAAAAGCTTATTATTTTGTAAAAGTACATTTTTTTTATGTACAGTGTTCTGAGCCGAAAGTACCAATATTTATTCAGTCTGCATTAGGACTGCGTTCTCCATTTCATCAAATGTAATCACTCTCAAGTGATGAGAAAGGAAAGAAAATGATGTAGAAGAGTACAGTTTAAGATGACAGAGATAGTAGAGTGGGAAAAAAAGTCTGACATGCCTTTGAATTTTTATATTGTTGACTTTGGAGATTTTTTGGAGAAAAAATGCCACTTGGCCAGGGTGAAACTTTCATGAACAATATTTTCATAAATTCAGACATATATATTCAATAATATTCATGATTGTTATAACTGTCTCTGTCAACAGCAATCAGTTAATCAGGCTGGCTCACCCATGACAGATTACAAAAAGAACATTGAATCTAATTTCAAAAGTTTGAAAGCTGGTTTAGTTCCAAAAGACAAGGAGTCTGTACCAAAGCTTCCACAGGCACAAAAAGAATGGTGAGGAGATAAGCTTTTTATTAGTGTACATTTTGTTAGGTAATCTAATGTACAATTCTAACACTGGGCAGTGGAGACATGGTAGCCTAATGGATACTGTGCTGGACTCTGGCGTTGAGTGGTCCAGATTTGAGCCCTTGCTGGGGTAATGGCGTTTTGTTCTTGGGCAAGACACAGTGTCTCTCTCCACTCAGGCGTATAAGTTTGTACTGGCAAATTCAATGTTGGGGGTAGCCCCTGCGATGGACTTGTACCCTTCCAGGGGGGAGAAGAAATACCTCTAGTTGCTTCATGCTACAGAAACTGGGATGAGCTTCCATTGTATGGGCCACTGGCTGTATCATTGTTCATTTATGATAATCTCAAGTAAAGGATGCTCAGTTTACCAAAGCAATCAAACTGATCGGCACATCATATTTTCAACCTTTTTCCCAAGACAAGGTGTTAATTTCCTGACATAGTTGCTACTGTCATTATTCACCAAAAGCTGGGTAAGCTCAAGTCTTTGTGATTAAAGAGGAACTCTGGTGTCATATTGACCAAAGAAAAAATCTTCAGGTCACTTATTTCACCTTGGTTCATGTATCTAAAATTAATATGCTTTATTTGCTTTCTAGGATTAGCAATGTCACAGCCAATATTCTTGACAGTGTCCATTCCTTGCCACCAGGCCTCACTCAACCCATGATATCAGCCATGAGTTTTGTTGAACAGCAGAGACAGTAAAATAACTTTTTAAACGTAGCTTGGTAGGCATTTGCTGTGGTCTAAAATTGCAAATCTGGGAATTTGAGTGGCTCTCCCACTGATCATTAATGATTTACTAAAAGTCAGTGACCTATAGCATTAATAACGTTATGTAATCCTATTGAACATATTTATATTTGAATTCCCACTAGTCACATGCATTGATCAGCACAAGATATGGACCAGAAGTTTGTTTTTTTTGGTTTTCTAGTATACAAATCAGCTCCACCACTGTGTTGAAATTACCCTAAAATTTATGTTTTATGATAAAAATGGCTTTCCCTTAATATCTTTCCTTTGTTTTGAGCAATTAGACCACAGCAGAAAACGTATTCTACAGTCAAAGTTTATGTTTACAGCCCAATTCTCCACTTAAGGAGACTAGAACAGTGATGTCAAACTAAGTTTACTTCTGGAGCAGGGTCTAAATTGGTCGAGTCTAATGGAAGAAAGACAGAATTTGAATTACATGTAGGTAAATTTGATTTACAACAAGAATTACGTGCATCTTGAATACCATATCATAATTAAACGCACTGTTTGCATCTAGTGTGGAGTTATTTCATTAAACTAGAGTGATTGCACACATCATATTCCTTTAGGCAGTGTGTTTTGATTACAATTATTATGAATTCCTTACTTTACAATTGCCTTGAAGAAAACTGCAAACTAATGGTCTTGGAAAGAATAAATATTTCTGCTTTAGGTCTTATTACAATAATGTAAGGTCTTTGTTGTGGTTCAATGGTTTCATATACATTATAACATCTCACCATATATATTATACAAGAACAAAGAAAAAATACAAGCTTTCCCAAGGGTAAAATAATTATGAAACCATGACATCTGTTTCAATTAATATGTCTCTGACAGTAGGTAATGTATTGAAAATAATAAGTTGTATTATGCTTAGACTTATCAGGTAAAGAGGAAAAATCCATTTTGAAAAAAAATCGAGAAGTAATATATCAAACACAAGAGACAGTGTTCCGTGGGGATATCCAAACACCGAGAAGGGAGTTGAAAATACGACGCGTAGCGGAGTATTTTTGACGAAATTCGAGGTGTTTGGATAGTCGGGGAAACACGGTCTTTCTTAGTAGTTGCAGTAAAACAAAGAGGCCGTAGCAGTGTAAGAGAAGACGACTCTCCATTTGTATTATTTCATAACCAGTGAAAAATGAGCCCTTACACAATCTTTCTGAAATAGGCGAGACTACCGCTACCTGTGTTGTAAAATTCTCCCAACCTTGTATTATAAGAAACATGAGAACTATTAAAGAGAATTCGATTTTACAATCAGATTTCTCAGCCCTCAACTAGCTATGCAATCCTCTAGCACATGCACATATCAGAATTTAATGAGGGTTGTGAATAATCGTTTGAGGGACGGTATATTTAAGGTGTTGGAAAATAAAATATGAAGGCATGTATAGCTATGGAATGATAATTTCTTCTAATTTATTTATTTTATTTGTTTTGTAAGATATTTGACTTAGCTAGCGAGGATGCATAAAGATTTTGAATAAATTGCACATGCCGAAGGGAGAGTCTTATTTGCCTCCCTTGATTTGCTGTGTCACTTCTTTTACTGTACCTTACATTGACTGCAAATACACTTCGCCTACTACTTGTCATGGTAAGTGGAGCGGGGTGGCCTCATGGTTAGTGTGTTCGACTCTAGATCGAGCGCCCCTGTTTAAAGCCCTGGCCAGGGCCATTGTGTTCTTGGGCAAGACACTTTACTTTCACAGTGCCTCTCTCCACCCAGGTGTATAAATGGGTACTAGCGAATTTAATGCTGGGGGGTAGCCCTGCGATGAACTAGCATCCCATCCAGGGGGGAGTAGAAATACGCCTAGTTGCTTCATGCTACAGAAACCGGGATAAGGTCCGGCCTGCTGGGTCACTTGGCTCGCACACAGACTTAACCTTTTACTTTACCACGGTACGTAGGCAGCCATCCTTTTGGCCACCTCTTGCTGAAGTTGGTGTTTCGACCATATGTAGAGAACTCCTTTTCGATTGTAACCCAATGAGGTTTGAGCTGAAATCCTGGAATTGCAGTTTTCTAAGTTGATTTTTCTTGTTTGCATCATTGATAATAAAATTTAACATGGATGCGAGGCAGTTTCGAGCAGAAGCCTCAAAATAGGCCATTTCCGAGTTTCCTTGAAAATGAGTTTGATTTGCATGGAAATGAACTTGCTGGCGGAACTCAGTCTCATATGAATGGTTTCGTAGGTAGACTCGTTCAGAAATAGAGGCAAAAGGCAAGTCAGATATGGCCTATTCCCCGAGATTAATCCACATTCATGTTGGACTAAATTACAGTGCAAATAAGGAAACAACAACAACCATGAAAAGAGCCATTGAAACCGGCCAGGGGTCGTTAATGTTGGCGCTGCTTAAAGGGATCTTGGACCCTGTTGACGAGAATTTAACCTAAAACAATTGAGGGGGGAGGGGATAGATTTTTACACTGCCAAAGATAAACTCGCTTGAAACGAAAGGATCATCGAAGATTAAAAGACAGTGCCTTCCTTCATGTAGTGGCTTTTCTTCGTAATAACTGTATTTACAATAGCTCTGGAGCTACTGGATAACGTTAGGTTACCTCATACACCGGAACCCATTCCAGACGTCCCTCTCGCCACTGTACAGATACGTTCTCGGTAAGTTCCGAGTAGAGGTCACAGCCATGCTGACCTCCTGTCAGATGTAATTCTTTTGAAACATTAAAAAAGCATATCGAGAGCACTGCACGCCTCCACAAACCATAAACAATTTATATATTGATTGATATTTTGGTCAATTTATATGTTCATAACAGTTCATGGCTACCAAAACTATAACAATCCTAGAGATGGAGAAATACAGTTGGGTGGCGATTTATCGAATTTACCATAACTAGAACCAAAACCCAAAAGTTGTTTCCCCTGGATTCTGCATTTTACAGTAATTTTACCTCTGATAACATCCACTCCACATTTTTTGATCATGAACTAATATTTTCCCTTTGAGGGTCGAGAAATCGGTACTCTCGTGTTGTCAAAAAGCAACAGTGACAAAGTAAGCAAAAATCATGATCTGCAAAAGTGTCCAGACTCCATTCTACTGATAGATAAATGAATTTGCTCTTTTTTCACTTTGAAAGATCCC